TCACAATTACAGTATTATGAAAAGCATGCTCTGATGCTTTGTTGGTCATACGTGATCAGTTCTTCAGTATGTTAAGTTATGGCAGATCAGTATAGCAGTTTAGATCCCCAAAATGTGAGGATTGCCTCTTTCAAATATATTCATGGAAGGGAGTCAGCAGTAGACGGACTGAAGAATTGCCTTTCTTAGCTCAAACTGAGCTAGCCATTAAGAGCTTGATCAGAGAACCTTCTCTGGTGGATCCACTTTTTGAAGTTAGGGAGTGGTTACCTTCTCTGTGGTGGCACTTGCATTATGGAATTAATTCTTAAAGAGATGTGCTTGGTGCCTACTTTATCTTAGGCACCAAATGCATTCTAGCCAGTTCTTTCAGGCACTTAAAGGCATCTGAGTTGGACTTTTTAAGGGTATGTGTTCTTCCTGGAAAGTGTCGGTTTCTAAAATTGGCTTTGGATTTGTGAATCATTTTCATTTTATACTGCCTACTACTGTTTTGTTCTCAGAATTGTCACAATTTATTATGTCTTCCTACTATGAGCCACACTGGTAATTTTTATAAATGAAATAACATATACACTGTTGTATACATATATATTATAAATGTATGTAAGAGCTTGTATTTAGGAGACCTAGTTCAAGTCCTAACTTGATCGTAGAATCATTTTCTGCCTTTGTCACCTTCTTTATAAGGCTCAGTTTTCTATCTGTAAACTGGAAATTAACATGATAACTCAACTGTGTTTCTTGTAAGGGTAAACAAAACAAGAAATGGCAAAGCAACTATATATATATTAAAAAAAACTTACAATATGCTGGCCTTAGAAACAGGCCCGAGGCCTTAGAGAAGCAGATATGCCAGTAAATCAGAATACTGTGTACTTCATGTGATCAATTTCTACCTCTAGGTTCATACCCAGTTCATAATCAAACCTTAACAACAATATTCATCTAAGCAAGCAAACAGTATATTGTGTGAATTAGATACTTTGGTGGAAATCTAAAAATAACCACAATACTTCTGTCTCTCAGAGAAAACCAAACAAATTCAGTTAAATACTTCAGGCAGGAAATGGCAACACCCATCCCCTTGCATTTCCCCATATTCCTGTTTCCACATCTTATCCTGGACACATTATATGGGGAGTAAAACTAGACTTTAGCTGCCGGGTCTTCAACCATGACAAAACAGCTTTCATTCATTTCCTTTTGGATCTCTTCTTCATGTATTTCTCCATGAAGAAAAGCAATCTTTTGCTTCAAGCCTCCAAACAAACCCACATCAACGAAGACCAAGTTATATTAAAAAAAATCTTTATTTCATGTACCAGGATTTTTTTGTAGTTTTCTGCTTTTTAAAATTGTTCTTTTTAACAGTCTGAAAAAAAAAGAACACAAAAAAGAAAAGAAAATGGAGGTTTGTTTCTTGAACTGGTTTGAGCTGAACATAAGCAATATCCTTGGAAAAAAAATTCTCCACCGGTCCTCATCCTCCCTCTTCCCCCTCTTTCTGACTTCCGTTCGCTCTTTTTCTTTCACACACACACAAACACAAGCACCCTTAACACACTCACTCATGCATACGCAAGTGCTCATTCATCTTTATTCAATCAGAAGTGCTCAAGAACTCTACAGATACCAAGTTCTTGAAAGCAGCTTTGGGTTTCCACCAAAATATCATCCTCTGCCTATGCTGGCATACAGGAAACCAGTTCTTTTTATTTTTAAAAAACTCATCTCCTGGGCTTTGGATATTGGTTTATTCCCCCTGCCCCCTGCCTGCCCTTTTCATTGTCACAGATTGGCAGGCCTAAGTTTTGGGATTTAGCAGGGGTGCTAGACACTACAGAAGGGGGTGCCCCATACTGAAAGCTAATGTCACGCAAGCTGTACATTTAGGCTCTTCAGCCACGACCGACTTATCTGCAGATGCCTGGGAGAAGTCATTTGACCACCATGGCTAAGTGCCCTACATAGTGCTCCCCTCCCTGCCCTGGAAGGGACCCCACTCTTCCCTGCAAGAGAAGGAAAGTTGGAGAAAGCAGCATTAAACTAGGCGGATAGTGCAGGTTGCTTTTTCTGAACGTCATTTAAATTTCTGCAAGAGCTGAGTTGCCATGAAAAGCGAACCCTCTTTGCATCTAAGCAGCACTAGTTTGAACAGGAAGCTTCAAGCGAGAGCCAAAGTTGCTGAGGGGAATGACAGGACCTCGCTCAGTAATCCATTCCACCTGAAATCTTGCTCCTTCAGGGCTCTGGCATTGCAGGGCTATGGAGAATTCACTCCATCTCTTTTGACCCAAGCTGTATCTGCTCCTTAAAGGTTAACTTGGTGCCACATACTGGCATACACACGATCTGCACCTCCCCTGCTTCATTTTTCCTAGTAACATTGTTTAAAAAGGAGCTGGATTGGAAGTGTTTCCTAGCACACTGTTACAGTCACAACCAACCAACCAACCAACCAACCAAAAGAAGCCATGGCACCAAATATCCCTCATGAACATGGTGGTGATTTGTGGGTATGTTGTGACTGAGTGATGTGTAGGATTGGGACTGTGTTTGAGTGGATTAGAAGGAAGCGTGCTACAGGTGTGCTCCTCTTCCTTTTCACAAGTGTGTAAACCAGGAAAAACTGCAGTGAAGTAGGCAATAATTAGTAGTGAGAAAAGAGAATCAGGCTTGTGCCCAAGAAAGCTGCACTTTCCGCTGCCTTACAGCACTCCAGGGCGAATGTAGAAGGTTAGCACTAAAGCGAGGAAGCAACACATGGCAGCTGGGCAGTTCCTGTCTATCAGCAAAATAGAGATAGGAAGGGCATCTCCTAAAAGCTCTAAATGCTGTTTCTTTGCTTGGCTAACTTTGTGCTAAGCAGATAAAAGACAAACATGTAGGATGCATCTCAACCTGAAGCCGGGGCAGGGGGCACAGTGATGCAGAAGAGTGGAACTTGCCAGACCCCTGCTTGCTACTCAGCTATTAAAGGCACAGGAGCCCCTGTCAGGGGGTCTGGCAAGACCTAGTTGTCAGCCTGCAATAGAGTTTTATGATGACTCTTTATGGCCATAAAGAACAGCAGGTGGTCTTGACCTGTAAAGGCCCAAGAGTCCCAGGAGGGAAATGTTGGGCCCAGGGAAGTCAGTACTCATAGATCCCTCTTCCTCCAACCTTTTTCTGCTGCCACTTTGTTCCTCCAAATGGTTGACTTCCTAAGAGCTTCCACCCCAAAACCATTCTAGCAGACTTCCTGCTTTCCCTCTGCCATGGACATCCTCAGTGAGAGAAGCAGCTAGTTTAAGGGAAAGGGGGATGAAATGGATTTCTCCAAGAGGCTGATCCCCTGAAAAATCTTGCCTTCCTTTCTGCTGAAACTTGTAAAGTTGCTGGAGCCCGTGTGGGACAGCTTGGCTCTCGCTGCTTTTAAACTTGGTGTACAAGAACTTAAGCAGCTGCCCCTGCCCTTACCATTGCACTGCAGTAGAAGAAAAAGTGGTACCTACCATAATTGTTTTCTGCCCAACTCTTAAAAGGATGGACCAAACTGTCCTATAGTGAACGTGAAGATGCTACAGGCAGGCCTCTGTGTAAGGCAGGGTGAATAGGAGGAAGTCAGGGAGTAACGGTTTAGTAGTGCAAAGTAGGAATGGGATCTGAACCTTTCTCAGTGCGTTGGATGCAGATGAGAGGAATGTCGGTAAATCTGGCGAGACTTAGCCATGAAGCAGAAGAGCTAGCTGTGTAAATGAACTGACATCAGTGGGCAAGTAGCAGCCATTTTGCCTGTCAGCTTTTGTTTTTTAAGCCTGGGGTGAGTGCAGGGGGACAGCATATTTGCCTGTCCATGTAGGGATGTGAGCAGAAGTCTCCATGGCAACATCTAGTCCTTGTTCTGTATTCTGACCCCAGCAATAGCAGCATCTTTCTCTCCTTGGAAGAGATTATTTTCCCCTGGCCCAAAGTTTTCAGGTCTGAGGGAGAATGCTACCCACTCCAACCAGCTGGCCAAGTTTTAGGTGGCTTTTAAAAGTTGCTGTTGTTGAATGGACTCAATTTCCAGTTGCTCTTTAGAAGCCTTTCAACCCCTAAGATTTTAGTTTTCACAGTTTTCAAGCTGGAAAAAAGATGAAAAGAAAAATACTATCTGGCTTTCTTGCAAGTAAATCCACTTATTATATTTACATTTATTTATAGTTGGTTTTCTTTTATTAAAAAATTGCCACTTTTTATGAAGCTTTTTAATATTTTTTTGCAATGTCACTGTTAACCCCAGGGCGGTCACAGGCTGGTGAGGTTGAGCCTGATCAGCCTTAACTTCCTGAGCCCTGGAGATCAGCAAATCAGCATTAACCCCTCAGATACCCAAGGACAGGAAGGTTAAGCCTTGTGGGCTGATAAGAACATGTTGAATCACTAGTCACTCTACTGGGGTTCAGTAAGTTGAGGCAGGCTCTAATGCATGTACAATCAAAGGCATCCACAAGGACAGCCAAGTCACTGCATTTTATTTCCACTAGAAATCCTCAGGAACCTGCAAGTCCACAGTGGGTTAAAAGTGAAAAGAAAACAAGGTTAAAAAAATTAAAGAGTACCCCACCCCCCAAAAAATCCAAAGAGCTGCCTCCTTCTCTTTCCTCTTGTTTTTAATTTTTTTTGTTGTTTCTTGGTTCCTTTTTTAAATCTGTTTTTATTAAATGTTAAAATAATGGTACATGGGAAATCATGCATTTTCTTTTAAATTTATTTTCTATTTTTTCTATTTTTAAATTTCTTTCTCTTGATTTTTTTAAAGTTTTTTTTCCTTTTTTCTTTTTTTTGAACTTTTTGTTGTTTCTTTTGGATGCTTCACTTAAGTTTGTTTTTGTTTTTTGTTTTTTGCTTTTGGAAGGTTTCCCCATGGTTGCTTTCTCTCTCCCCCCCGCCCTCCCCCACTGCTCCCTCCCATCCTGCACCCAGCGCCCACTCCCACCTTCCCTGTCCCCCATTTTCAGCCCCTCTCGATGGCTTCATACGGGGGTGGTCCGGCGGTTGGCTGTGTTAGTGTGGATGGAGTCCTTGTTTTCTTTCTGGATACAGTTGTGGACCTGGAGGAAGCTGTTATCCCTGTCTGAATTGTAGGTGGCGGTGGGAGTGGTGGCAGCCTTCAGGGGGTCCCTGGTCAGGGTATACATCGAGATCTCCGTTGATGGGAGGGTGTTGAACCCTTTGATCCCGACGGGAGAGGCATCCCTGGAGTGTGAAGGCTCAGTGGAACGGGAACTGGAGCGACTGCGTCTCTGATAGCGGTAGCGATAGCTGGGTATGCGGGTGATGGCAGAGGACTGGAGGTAGTCCGTGGCGTGGGCGCTGGCACGCAGCTGTTTGTGCCGGTCAATAAACATGTGTACGGCCAGCACTCCCACCATCTCGGCTATAATGAAGGACAGGGCCCCAAAGTAGAAGGACCAGCCATAAGAGTAACTGTTCTTCTTGGAGTCGCTTTTTGAGGGGTCTCCAGCATTGGCTGATATGTACACAATGATGCCAATTATATTACTCAAACCTGTGGACAAAGGGCAGGAGAGAAGAAACTGTTAGCCTGTTTCCCCTAATATGCTGTATAAAATCTTAAAAGACCTCACAGACTCTGATGCATTGCTATATGCAGATATTTTGGGCCAAACCTAGTTCCCTGTAAAGGCAAATTCACATTTTTAAAACCATGGTAGTTGTAGTGTGGAGCCACCCCCAGAGGGCACTTTTGTGGCATATCGGATATTCCAAATACTGCAACACATGACCAGGTCAAGATGCTACCTCCTGACTCCATTTTCTGCAGGGTGGTGAGATCAGATCCTAAAGTCCTGCCCATATTCAATGGACGTGGAGTTCTACTTTCCACCCCCTCAGACTCATGTGTTGAACATCTGTAAAGAGGCACTCATGAATAAGTACATGGATGACTGAAGGCATTCACACATTTGATTGAAGTTGTTGAGTTGTTCTTGCGGGCTTCTTGTTAATCCTGCTTGAATCCCTTTGTGCATATAATGCATGAAAGAGGAAACATTCCCAATGCGTGGGTTCACATATCAGACTAACCTACGCTGTGAATAACCAATGCTGGTTGGCTGTTCACAGAACAACCCACAGTGTGCCCAACTGATGACTGAGCTCACCATGGGTTGTCACCCATTCTTTCTCCCTTGACCCTCTTGTTGGTATCTCAGGGGACCAGATGGTTAAAGCCGCCTTGTTTCTTCTCCCCATCATCATCCTGAGTCCTTTTCCACTTGCCACAGTTTTCTCCTCTTTATTTTCCTCTTTTAAATTTTGGAGATTGTCTTGCTAAGCAGCTCATTTCTTGCTTTCCACAATCCACCAGATGGGATTGATCTTGTGGGGTTGGACTTGTACAGCACTGTGCTCTTGTAGGAGTCCAACATGGGAAGCCTCACCTGGGCAATGTCTTGGTAGGTGTCGGCTGTCAAAGTGCAGCAGGCAATAACATGGGCTCACTCAGAGAAACGGCAAATGGTCCATCTTCTACTTTGAGTTTTTTGATTCTACATGCGTGAGTAAGTGGAAAAGCGAGAGTCACCTATTTATATCACAGAGCCTTGAAAATTCAGGTTTACCTTTTAAAATTAGATTTTTGACAAGTCTAATCAAGACTTTTGGGACATGGATATATGCATTATACATGCACTTGTCAAAAAAGCCTGGGTAGCCCTCTCAAAACCCCTATTTTAAAAGGAAGCCTGACTTTTGACAGCTAATTGTCAAAGAGGTGGCTTGCACTTTTCCACCTTCCTGAGCAGCTAGGGTCTTGGGAAAGCATGGAGATGTGCAAAGGCCCTGAGAAGAGTCAGGTCCAACCAAGACATCTAGAGGATCTTGCAGGGAAGAGGGTGACCTACTAGCCATCTCCCTTTCCCTTTGTCAGGAAAAAGCAAAGTAATAATAATAATAATTGCAGTCTCTTTGGCTCAGTGCATGCAGCACTTTAGGAGGTACCTCCCAGGACATTGCTCAGGTAATACTTCCCATTTTGAACTCCTGCAATTGCACAGCTCTTTACTTGCAGAAGTCCGACTAATTAAAGAATGAAAAATATGCGAATTTCTTGCACTTAAAAAATGAAAGGAAAGGTGGTGAACCAGGGACAGCTCCTCTAATGTTCCACATCGGCACTTCGGAGGGGCTGTCACTGTCTGTGCACTTGGAGATCATAAGCAGAAATCTCCAGGAAAAAAAAAAAAGAGGGAAAGGGGGAAAAGCTGCAGTGAGTGAAATAAGGGTTAATAATTGTGATGGGGGATATTGAGCCAATGACAATTGTTCTTCCATGCTGCTTAGGCTTCAGTGGGGCAGCTGTCACTGGTGGTGGTCCAGGCAAGCTCAGCAAGAGCAGCAAATAGTTGTTTGCCTCCCACAGCTCATGATGGGGTTGGTTGCTCAAGTTTGGACAATGTAGCAACTCATCATGGGTTCAACAACCTCCAAAACAAGCCATGGATTATCAGGTGGCTTATTGCTGTCAAACAAGCTACCCTGCAGTAGGTCGTCTAGTTCATACAAGCTACAGCCTGCTATGGCTTGTCATCCATCATGGATTCTTGTGTCTTGTGAACCTAGTCACTGAATGCTGGCCAGTTACCACACAAAGAAGGACAACTTATGTTGGGTTTATCATTTTAGGAGGGTGTCTTAAGAACTTACAAACAGCTATACTAGATCAGACCATTACAATTCTAGACACATTATTTAGCAATCAGCAAGCAAGCAAAGAAAGTAACAAACCTGTTTACATTGTATTATTGTGTTAGACTAGCATGACTACTCTCTGGGCACTACTAAAAACCCCCAAACCATTCCAGGCTGTCCTAATATTAGGCAGAGTGAAGCAGTTGCCTCAGGTGGCCAATGCAGGGTGGTGGCAAGAAGGTGTTGGAGGAGAGGGCTGTGTGTCCTGTGCCTTTAGGCGTGGTGAATGAAGGGGGCTGTCCCGTCACTAGTCTTTAAGAAAGATACAATTGCCAGTCCAGTCAGCTTTTGAATACGGAATGGGAGTAAGCACCATCTTGCTCTTCAGCTCAGGCTTTAAAGCATCTTGCATCAGTAGGAATCAAGACTGGGTATACAACTTCAGCTAAAATTCAAATTAGGTGGATTTCATTCCCTTAACTAAGGCTGCGAATCTTCTCCAAAAGCTGATTTCCACTAGTAGTTTCCAGTCACTTCTTTCTTGGCTCCTTAGGTGCGGTTGTATTACTGTTCCCACCCTCTTCTCCCACCAGCTAGGAAGTCATAGTATCTAATTGCACATTTTTCAGAATTTAAGTGTTAAAATGTGCTTTCTTCCTTGGAGGTCAGTGGGCACTGAAGACCTCTTGATGTTTTACAGCATACAAGATGCCCTCCATTTTGATCTAATGCAGCAAGTCTAACTCCAGGAAAATACTGCAGGCTATGGATATGGCTGTTAATCCTAATACATTGCAGAACTCTGGGACCAGTTCAGCAAACTGCTACAGAACTGTTTTATCTTGAGACATTGTTTTTTAAACCTTGCATTCCACTTTCAATAAACTAATCATATTTTAAATAGGTGAATAAAAGCTGCTGTTTCTTCCAGGGGCCAGATTTTCAATATCCTTGAATGGCTATTACTTTCTGGTACCATGTTGATGGGTATTTCCAATTCTACAGCTCATCATTGTTTTGCAACAAATGTGTGTGAGAAACCAGTATAGCATTCAGTATAGTAGTGTGAATTCTGTTACAGCTAGTAGTGGCGGTCAATGGAGAAGACAATAATGCTAGGGAAAGTTGAAAGCAAAAGAAGAGGACCAAACCGGAGATGGATCGATTCCATAAAGGAAACCACAGCCCTGAGTGTACAACAGTGGGGCTGAGCTGTCCAGCACAGGATACTTGGAGGACATCAATCCATAGATTGACATAAGTCAGAGGTGACTTAACAACATGTAACAACAACAACAGTAAATGGTGGATAGTAGAAACATAGTTATTGGTCCCAACTCCTTCCTAACAGCCACAGGCATTTCTAAATGATGTTGTTTTTATATCAGCACTTCTAAGAGATGTAGAGGGGTACATAAAGGGGAAAAGGGCCCTTTCCACTTCTGTGCAGTTCTAATGCAATTTCCAACTATCCTGTAGTATGTGAGATAGGGAGGGACTTCACAAGCTCTTTCTCTTGAGCAGATATCCCTGAACACACTGGGGAGAGCTGGTTCAGTGTGTGCTCCATCCTGAGCCATGTCCTGACAAGGACATTATTTTTGGACTTTGTTTTGGGAAAGTAAATAAGGTAGTAACTTACCCACAAGGTCTTGGTGACCTAGCCTACCAACCTACCATGGTTTCTGGGCATGCCTCCTACTCTACAGAGGGCAGCCCTCAGTGTGAAGGTGACCACTGCCTGAAGGGCTTTCCAGTCCAAGTCCAGTTCAGACATAAAGAGCCATAGAAAGAAAGAGTAGATCCCTTGACACTGTCCATCCACAGTGAGTTCCTGGATGACAGACCAATCAGGCATGCAGGTCACCTGGTCCCAGTTTTCCCCACTGTGGTGAAATGTCTTATAAGTCTGTTTAAATTGGGGGTCTCGAACTCAACTTCCCTGGGGGCTGCTGGAAGTAGAGTCTGGGTGAGCTGGGCCGCATCAAGTCTTCCACCATCGCGGTGGTGGTGGGCCGCTCATCCCACGGCCGGCCCGGGCGCCGCCGGCGCTTTGAAGGCCACAGGGCCCCTCCCCTGTGCCCCACCCATCCCGGCAATTGGCCCGTGGGCCGCGAGTTTGAGACCCCTGATTTAAATTATAGTATTCTTTTCTAAATTAGAACCTGTGCTTATAAATTACCCTGTGCATATATTCTGAAAATCTGTGTCCTCTGTTTTGGCAATGCATAAATGGCCACTTAGCCTTCCTCAAGTGTGGAATGGGGACAGGGCTGTGTAATATTTATACTTGTGATTGACAGGCACTACAAGACCTCTGGTTTGTCAAGCCAGCAATGCTAAATACTGAAAGCCTGGCCTTCCGCCAATGGAGCAACATCTTCTGTCTGCTGCAGTTCAGAGCAGTTTTTAGCTCAAACTCCCAGGCCTGCGTAGACTCATGGGCATCGGTATCCCTTACCCAATTCCAGCATTGACCATTTTGAGATCTTGCAGGGATCAGAGGCACCGAAGAAGTACTTTTGATCCAAAGAAAATCCCATCCAAGGGTATTAGTATAAACAAGCCAATATGAAAGTAGGAACAAACTTTAATTAAAGGGTTGAGAATTAAAAATTAGGAAAATCCTCCTTTATTTTATGATTGTGATCACTAGAGTAGTATATGCAATGCATGGGAGAAAGAAAAATCCCAAGAATTAGAGAGTGGTATAAAGAAGTGGAAATGTTGTATAAGTCAGCTGTTTTGTTCATTGTTGTTGCTAATGTACAGCTCATTTTTCCTTTTGAAAAAAAATTCAAATTCAGTAAAATGTATTGAAATAATTACAGTAATAATAGTGAAAGCAAGGAAGAATGGACAGGTACTTAATCCCACAAATATTCACATCTATTCCTCACTGACTACAGAACCCCACAACCCTTGCTGGATTGGACCAAGGGACCATCTTATCCAGTGTTCTGTTTAGAACAGCAGTAAGCCAGATGTTTTTGGAAGTCGATAGGCATGTTGTGAAGGCAACAACCTTCCCCTGTTATATAAAGTGACCCAATTTGTATGATCACCATGGTGGCCTTTTAAAACTGTGACTTGGGTTGATGCCATTTGACTAACGACCTGCCTGGATGCAGCTTGTTTTCTTCCAACCCAGGGCTATGGCTTGTTTGAGTGAGCGAACCTTCAATCACCCAATAATGGGCCATGGGTTGTTTGAAAGTTGTTTTCCCCTCAAACAAGACAGGCCATTTGGGTTGGATGACGTGACAGGTTGTGCTTGGGTGGGTAAGAAGCAAATGGCACCCAACATGCACCATCGCTGAAACAAGTGTATGTGTATGTGTAATATTACAGGCATTCTGCAAAAAATAATCCACTTTCATCATTGGATGCCATTATGGACAATACAATAATTATAAGCAACAGGTAAAAGCCACAGACAGTAGAATAGATCACTGAAAAAGAGGCCTACATACATACTGCAACATTTTCAGAGGGAGTTATCATAGCTCAAAAGGGGTTGCAAAGCTGGATTTTGGTGTTTTTGCATGACGCTGACATTAGATGAAACTCCAGACCTTGACTCTTTGGCACCCTTGTCAAATTTGCACCACTTCTGCAATTATGGGTTTGCATGATCAATTGTTCCTCCATAAAACATGATAACTACATTCTTGCTCCCTGAAAACTAGCACTTCAAGGACAAGAAAAGGCCAGATCTGTTTTCCCTGGGATCTCACCTATAAGCTGAAGTGGTACCCCACAGATGCTAGTTTACTGCTTCGGTGGGAATCGGGCTTGAGATGCCAAAAATGATTTTCTTGCTTTCTTGAGTTGCTCTTTCCTCCACTTTGCAATGGTGTATAAATAATGAAAAGCCCTTTCTTTCTTTCCTTCTTTCCTCCTTCCTTCCTTCCTTCCTTCCTTCCTTCCTTCCTTCCTTCCTTCCTCTTCCTGTATTTTGATACCATCTTCGTTTTCTGTGAGTGATAGAATGCCCTTATTGCCAGCAAATTTGTGGCTGTGAGGAAGGAAGGAAACTTCCCTGGGTTTAGGAAGCAGCCCAGCTTCTTCGCTATATTCCGGATGCAGCACTTGTCTATGTAGCCCCAGCTCCTCTGCCCTAGTGCCCAGTCCAGGAAGGAGCTGATGAAGAGAGGAGACTTTTTGCTGTTCCTTCTACACAGCCACAGAGATGGATATAATTCTCTGCCAAACAACTGGCAAAGAAGGGCTGCTATTTTCAATATTTGTGAAACCTTGTTGTAAGCTAGTCTTCTCTGAAGCTTGAGCAGTCTTGTACTGCCATGGCCATGCTAGATGTGACAGCCAAGATCCATTTGTTTAAACTTGGGTATGCCCCTATCACGTCTCAAATGAGGTTCTTATTTTTAGAGCAAAAGAAGCATGCAGGGTAAAGTGTGCTAATTTCTTTACCTTGCCTTTGGTTTATTTATAACAGTTATATACCATGCCTCCTTAAACTTTGTTGTCTCCCAGCCTTTTTTATCCTAAGAACCCCAGTGCTGGAATGGAGCATGGTTGTCAAAGAGTACCTATACAGGCAGGGCTCCAGGGGCAGGCAGGTGGTAAGAGCAGAACGAGGTCAGCTACCTTCATCCACATACTCACTTGCTTTAAAGGTGGGACCTTGTACTCTCAGTTCTACACATTTGGACCTGAGCTTAAATATATGGACCATCTACGGTCATGTGTAGCTAAACCCTCCTTTAGAGGAGGCTGTAGTCCCAAAATATGGAAGAGAGGTGTGCATTCTCTCTCTCACTCATTCTGTATGTTTCTTGCTCTGGTTCAAAGATTTGTTCCTTCATCTAAAGTAAACGGATTCATACTCGGAAATAAGGTGTTGTGTCACTGCAGCCGTGCAGGCATTTGCATGTCCTTCTTCCTCTCCCCCTTGGCTCCCCCCTCGCTCTGGCAGCTGGCTGTTCTCTTGACCTCCCCACACATGATGCCTGCCCCTCACTTGTGATTTTCGTTCTCCGCAGAGGGGCACCCCACTCATCCCTCAGCCCTTTACCTGCAGACACGAAGAAGATGCCGGCACTAAGGATGATGTTATGCCGGGTTTTGTAGAACTCGCTGGCTGCAATGCAGAGTCCACCCATGAAAAGCAGAATCACACTCAGGATCGGAAAAATACTAGAGGCCCTTACAGCCCCTGTAAGCAAAGAAAGGAGGGCAGGGAGGAGGAGAGGAAGGGGGAATAGCAGCATGCATATGAGGCATGGGGAAAGGGGCAGAGAAGATGAGACATGCGAGGGGAATGGAGAATGGAGATTGGAGGGAGGGTGAGCATTGCAGCAAGCGGGAACAAAATAGGCAGAGCAAAGAAGCAAAGGAATTGGAAGGCCAGTGACAAAGGAGACAGAAGGAGGAGAGAGAAACAGAGTGTCAACAGAAGAAGAGAGCTGTTACAAATGAACTGTCAACATACTGGATATCAGAAATGAGCAGTGCACTTAGGGCTGCAGACCAGTCAAATGGCATCTGGTAGCAGAAGTTTACCTGGGTCCTTTATGCAAGCAGAAAACCCAAAGGCATGTCCCTCTGATCAAACAGAAAGCAACATCTAAGGCCAAGAAACCACCATCCGTGCGATGTAGTTACTCAGCACAGAGGTGACAAGTGCAATCAGGAGAAGTGTCGAGAAAACAAACAGATATTTAGCAGAAGTGGATGTGGAGAACTCTCCAGGGGGAACCAGAAGATAAATCCTTGCTCACATGTGTGTGTGCATGCAAGGAGGCGCACACATATGGAAGACACATATGCATAGCTCACAATGTTGTATGGGCCTGCTCTCATTCACCCCCATCCTACATACTCCAGCCAGCAGATGGCAGACACATGCACACACATAAACCGTGCACGCGCACACACACTCACTCACAAGTGCACAAACAGATAAGTACATGTAATGTATTTTAGGAAATGTGGAATATGGGCAGTTCTGAACAGTGCAATGCCTACAGCAAATACGGAAAGTGTGGGTGTCGCCCACACTCATGCCCCTTTTCCTCTCCCCCTTTGCCCTTCTAATTGGGTAATGCAAGATAAATGTATTCATGTTCATGACAATCATATTTGCATGTTTGCTATCAGAAACTTTGGGGTTCATGTTTCCAACATCAATCAACACGTGCAGCAGCATTTAGGTGTTAATTTTGTCCTCAAAAACACTAATGTGGATTAGAATGATGAGCTCACAAATAAATGCACATTGAAAACACAGAGAAAATTCATGCATTCACCAATTTTTGGTCACCTTGACTATTTGAAAAAATAAGATAACTATATAAATACGTGTTAAGGCACAACTATTCAGTGTTAAATTATTGTTTTGAACATCTCCACATATATGTGTGTGGATATAAAATTAGTAATAACTCCCTTTTCTACCTAAGAAGGAAAGCCTTCCAGGGTGTTTTATGTACTTCTAATTTACTGGAGGAGCTTTCTGTCAAGACTCTCCAAGTCTTTCTGCTTCCCAGGTGCTCCATCCCAAATTTTGCTAATTCACAGGAGCATATTTCATGATGCAGTAGCAGGACAGGTGTCATGATGCAGAAGCTCATGGGATATACTTTAGTAAAAGTTAGCAGCAGTTTCTTTCTTGGTAGGGCTATGTGATTCTGAGCCATTTGGCACGTTCATTCACATTGACTTAATGGACAACTCCATTGCTGTGTATAGTTAGGACTTTACCTGGCAAGGGGGATGTGGGCGCTGGCTGACATGCACACCACATTTGAGAACTGCACAGACATTTGTGCCTGCGTTGTGTTGCTGCCTGGGCTCCACTGGATGCAACTTGTGATGTGGACATGCGAGACCACAAAGGTGTGACTAGTTGTATGTGACAGGAATTGGATCGTGGCCAATGCCTACCTTAGGAATTGTACCTCTACCAGGGATGAATATGGCATGGAATGGATGGGCCTGAGGTACTGCACCAAATAGTATGTGAGCCCTAGAAATGTATATCATTCGTTATAATTGGGGCTGATGTTGATTTAGATGGCAGTTGATTTGACATCTCTACAAGGAGAGGTTTGGGAGTGGGAGCATACACTGACAGAAATTGGTCAAATGGCGAATGAAGAAAGTCACAGCACAAATCCTAATGCAAGGCATTGTGACTTAAGCAAATATAAGAAAACAGTTATATTTTGAAACTATGCAACATATCCCAATGTGTTTTGAGTCACGCCAGCTCTTCATCAGGGGAGCATTTATTTGTTTTAAAATTTCATTTTACCTTCTCCATGTGGAGCTTGATAACTTCTGTTTCCTTCAGGAAATTGGCATTACACAGTTTTTCATGGAGAGCGTAAAGGGAGATTTTTTTAAAAAATGAAGTAACTGGTCCCCTGCTGAAGAGCTGATATAGCTTAAAATGTGCTGACAGCTTTTGGAAAGTTTGCATTTTGAAATATTTCCTGGTCTTGCTTGAATCATGCTATGCCTATTTCAAGGTGTGGACTGGGTGCTATATGCTAAACCAAACACCATCTAAAATATACAGAACAACCCAATTATACTTGCATTATAGTGTTTGCTTTGTGCTGGACAAGCTTTGGTTCTGCCCTCTCTATCTTTTCCACCCCCTTTCCTTTCTTTTGACTCTTTTGTTGATGTTGTTTCCAAGTACAAAAGGTGACCATAAAACAAGCAATTCTGTTTTTCACCTGATTAGCCAGGTGTTTGGTTATTTTGCTCAAGAATGCATGAATTTTATGTGAATGTATTCTTTGCATGTTTGCAGAAAATACAAATAAAGGAGGAAAAGAGGGGTGGAGAAGAACCAATTCCTCAGTTAGAAGGGATGCATAAATCTTGGGTACACTTCTGTACATTCCTTATAGCTTACAACACCACTACTAAAATGCATGTATTCTGGTTGCTGTGGAAAATATTGAAATGATGCTGTGCCAGTCCAGAGGATTTAAAATCTGTATTAGATGGACAAGACAAGCATCTCTTGTCTTTTCCTGTTTTCTGGCCATGTTTCAGAGACGGTGCTATTCTACACTAATGACTTCTGGAAAGCACTAATGAGATTTAACAGTGGGGAATGTCAGCAAATGCCAAGAGATGCTCACCATCAGAGGATGCCCTACATACTGTGGGACCTTTTTGATACCTTTGTTACATGTACCTCCATTTATTTCTTCTCATATGCTTTTAATTAGCCAATGCAAAAGCAAGAAAGAGTCTTGCACCCAGCATTTGGGGGGGGGGGGGGTTCTGGGCCAAGTTTGGCTTGGAATGACTATTGTTCATTTATATTACATAAAAGCAAACCTATTGATGCAAATTAAGCTCACTTTGCATGATTCCTTGCTATTACAGAGTGTGGATTCAATCATAATCCTGCACATTTGTAGGGCCCTTCTCATATATAAGTTCTTCCTTTTGGCTCAAATAACCCATGGTATCTTAATTTAAACTTCAAATAATCCAAGATGGCTGGTTTTGCATGACCTGGCATCCACACCCCCAATCATCCTGTCTGGGGTGATGCTTGTCAAAATGTTACCCAGATAGTTCCACAGCTCATCTTGGGATAAACAACAAGCAATGAGTCGTGTGAACTAGGCTGCTGTGTGTCTATTTCACAAGCAAGGCTGTATGCTGGCTGACTGCCTTGTTATAAGGCTATAGAAAACTATTAGCAACGTGCAGGAATTATTAGATCACCATGGTCCCTTGTACAGTTGGCTGTGTTGAAAAAAAGCTTCATACAAAATATGGTGGCAAGAGTGGCAGCAAATGACCATAACTGGTGTTATGAGCATACGGTACCAGTGTTGTTCCATCTTTATGGAATCCTGGTTCATTCCCATCCTCAATTCAAGGAAGTTTTATCCTATAAACTCTTATATGGGTCTCTCTCTGTGTGTGAACTGTCTAGGGATGATTGTTTGTTTTCTTGTGGTTCCACCCATGCCATGAAAGCATCAATAGAGGGCCTGTTGGTCAGGTTTCTATCTTAAGGGGCTTCTACTTCTGTCAAACAGTTTAAATCTTTTAGAGATTGCTACTTGTTCTGTTTTAATCTCTGCTGCTTGAAATTGATTTTTTGGTGCCGCTTTGGATGTGCATTGTATTGGATTTTTATTTGTGTTCTATCTGTATTTATGTAAGTTGCCCTGAGAACAAATTGCTATAAATAAACAATAGGTGACCTCTCTGGAATATCTGGCACTTGGGGGGAAAAGCACCCATACCTGGTTTTCCAGCCTGTGCCAAACCTGGTTTGGCTTGAGTGAAAGGAATGGAAGGGAAGCTCGGCACATGAGATCCAGTTTGATTTGCAGCAATTAGCAGATGACAACATTTAGTTCTGCCCCCACACCCCACATATATTCAGCTAAGTTCTGTATCTCAAATTCTGTTAAGACACAGGATCTTTAAAATGTGCCTCAGTTGACTTATATGCCCAACACTTAAGTAACCCCCCACTCCACTCCAGGAAGTGGATTGGAGCTCTTAGCTAGTTTCAATGAAATATTGCCTGACTGATTGGTAACCAGTTAATCGCGGCAGCCTTTTACAGGTTGATAGGCTTACTCAACAAAAATGCTTCAGTGCTCTTTTACCTCATCCTAAACTAATGCAGAGATCTTAGAAACAGAACAAACTAGGCTTGCTGCCCCGTTATTAGAAATCCTGCTAGTAAGAAGGCTTTCTACAGCCTAAGCTGTAACTGCAAATAAGTAATAAATTGGGACCCACAGAGGTTCCCAATTCTGGCTTTACAAATAGATGATATCTAAAGAATCCTACATCCCTGTTCTAATGATTCCACATGTTTACTGAATTCCAACAAAGCCATTGTGGTGTAATGTCAAGCTGGAGAAATGCCTTTTCAAATGCTCATTTAGCCATGAAGCACATAAGGTGATCCTGGGCCAGCTATTACCCCTCAGTCTACTTTATTGGGTTGTTGTGAGGATAAATCAAAGGTGAAATGATGTACACTGCCTTGAGTGACTGGAAGGAAAGCTAGTATATAAATACAATAAATAAGCATAGCTTGAGACTACACATACAGCCCTGCGTTCAAGGCACATGCTTCTTATGACTTCTAGTAAGTTGCTTTCTGATATCAAATCCCTACCAGTCTTCTTTGCTGTGGCCGCCCATTCGTGGCACTCCCTCCCCATGTGGTTGGCCCTGACATTGCAATCCTGTCACTGTTTGCCTGGGCATTTTAGTTGCGTTTTCTGCTATGTTTTGTCACCTTTGAGTGAATTTTGTACTGCATTTTATGATGACATGAACATTTTTGGCTTTCAGTACTGGGTACACTGGAACAATATCTTTTATTGAAGAGCAATCTAAAAATCTTCACTGAAGAAGAGCAACTAGTTGCCAAATGTCCATCTGCACACTTCTTTGAATGTGCAGCTGTATCAGGATTGCTCAGGCAATACCAATACCGTATTTATCTCAGCATTCTTCACTGCAAGGCTCGAGGGCCAGGGTGGCTCCCAGTCATGCATCTCTCTCTCTCTCTCTCTCTCTCTCTCTCTCTCTCATTTCAGTAGCTGCTAACTCTAGGCAGGACTCTCTAATATTCCCTTGCTTGTTTCAGCAGTGGTCCAATTGTTGTGCTCTGGGCCACCAGAGAAGCCTTTGGGGATGGGGAGTTAGGAGACCTGCCCCTTAACAGCTGTACAGTGGCTGTGAGTTGGGATGGAGGAGAGGAGGAGCTGTGGTGGAGCTCAAGAGACAAAGAGTGATGGGACTGGCTGGCTGCAGGGATGCACTCTGCAGCTGCTGGAGGGGAATGGAAAAGGGAATGTGCCGGTGTGTGAGAGAGAACAATGTCGGCCTGTGCAAGGAGTGGCCCTTGCAGTGGTGACTGGAGCCAAAGTAGCTCCTTCCAGAAAGACAGTATTACATCTCAGTCCCAGTTTTCCTTTAAGCAGCTCCACTGGGTAGAAAAAAGTATTTGCTGGACCATCCCAGATTCTAGTGGCTGAGTGGGGATTTGAATCCAGCTCTTCCTATTTTCCTCAAATTTAGCATTCTACCTACTGCAGTGAACTGCTTCTTATAACTCCTCTGTTCAACTCTCTCTCTCTCTCTCTCTCTCTCTCTCTCTCTCTCTCTCTCTCTCTCAGAATATGCAAAGCCATCTTTACTCTTCAAAAATATAAGAAGAAATGTGCTGGATCAGATGAAAGGCCTTTCTAGTCCAGCTTTTATTTTCTTAGGGGCCAATCTGTAGGTGCTGTTGTACTCATGTGCTGCTTGTGAGCTTGCCATTGCAATCTGGAAGTTTCCTCACCTAACCCTGAAGTCTCCGACCTGTATCCCCATTATGCACTCCATGGTGAAAGTAAAGACAGGAGGAGGGTATTGTAATGTTTGCATTAATTTGGATTGCATTACCAATTATACTCTCAAAAAGCAAAAGATGTTTCATGTGGCCATTCTTAAGGTTAAATAATAGATTTAAAGTAGATTTAGATTTATAGCTTATGTTAGTCCTACTTAGAGTAGGTCCACTGAAATGAGTGAGGCTTAATTATGACTAAATTAAATCCTGTTCATTTCAATGGGCCTGCTCTAAGCAGGAATAACATCGGAAAGAATCCTTATTATTTCTGACTCTTCTGGCAGAAAACTCTTGCAAAGTTTGCTTGCAGGACCTTAGCTCTCCAGCACCTCAGGCATACCTACTTTTTATAGAAAATCCCTTCTTTATCTTAGCTGCTGAGATGCTGCAATGCTTACTGAACTCCCATGTGCCCAGATGGAAGGCAAAGTATTTTGCAGCACAGCTTAACTCCTTTGTGAATTTGTCAGCAAGTGCTGCATCCAGATGCCAGTGCCGTTCTCCCTGGTGTTTGGGGAGTGGTTGGTCACGGTGCTCTTGGTGACACCCCCCTCACTTGTGAACCTGCCTCCTCCTCGCTACTGCCTTTACTACTGATTCACTGGTCCTAATCCAGACTCCAGGCTTGCAGGATCTCTTGTTTTGAAGCTCACCAACTGGAGGCAGGTACAAAACAGTGGCTCAGGCAGGCGGATCCAAGGAACAGGGTGCCTCTGAGCATACACTCGACCTGAAAGTTGGTGATCAGCAGGCCCCGCAGCACTGCAGTGATGGCAGGGAATGCAAGACAGCTCCTTCTGCTTTCCCCTCAGTGTTTTGCTGCAAGGAGTGCTTTACCAGAGCGAGGCAGGGAGGAGAGCTGGCTCGGGAGATTTTCTGTGCCACAGCAGCAAGGCAGTCTCCAAGACCACCTCTCTGCCAGGCCTCACTGTGAACAGGCCCCCTCAGAACAAGGCGCTTGGCTCGGCTGGCTCTGTGGAGCCATGCCAGGCCCTCTCTTGCAGCACCCTTTGCCACTGCAGGGGGGAGGCTGCCCCGGCTCTGCAGAACAGCTGCGTGCCCACACCTCCGCGGGTGGATGTGCCCTGGTGGCAGCGGCTGCCACTCGAGAAGGCCAGACTGGCTGGGCTGCGTTCCTGCTGCGCACAGGAGCCCTTCACAGGGCCCACCTGCCCTATGCCTCACTTTGAGGCACCCAGCATGGAGGTGGAGGTGGCAGCACTGGCAGTCCAGGGTCAGGTGTGTGGGGACTTGGGCTGGGGGATGTGGCCTGCCTGATAGGAAGGCTGGTGCTGGGGATCAGCAAGCTCACGAGTTCCATCTCAGAGAAATGCACCCCGGTTTTCCTCCAAGCATTCTTTTGCAGCAACTAACCTGGGGGGACATTTTCCAGGCATTGCCATGGTTAGGCAACGGCAAGCCAGAAGTGCTTACTGATCTTCTTCAGACCAGCCAGAGGTCCACCAGGGGATCACAGGCTGGCTTCCGCTTGTGCCCGGAGTAATTCACACCACCAGCTGGAAGGAGAGCTGCTGACTAGGGTTTGTTTGGTGCTGACTAGCACTCGCCAGTGCAACACTCTAACCACTGCCACACTAGCTCTACTGTACAGGATAGCAGAAGTACCAGGGAGAAACAATGGGAAAACTGCCCATCCAACCAATTATTTAATGACACTGACTTGTGCAGTCTTGGGAGTGCAAAATATTTAACATAGGTATTCCTTTATTTTCTTAAACACACCTGTGTAATAGCCAATTTTAAAACCTGAAGGCATATGTGGAAGAGAAGCAGGAGAGGCAGGAAATTGAAGCTTTGGCAGAACTTTACATGGCAGGGACATGGGCAGCCCAAAAGGTGCTCCATTTGGCGTTTCACATTTTGCCTCATCCACTATGCCCATCCTTAAGGGAAGGAGCTTAATATAATGTCATCATCAGAGAACAAAGGGCGCTGGGTGTACACATGATAATCAGTCTGAAGGAAACGAAACTGCAAACTTACGGAGGAAATATTCTGCTGTGTCAGCTTCATATTCTGTGTCCTCGAGGAAGTGATCGATTTGCTTACACAGACCTTTGAAATTACCTACAATACAAGAGAGGAAACAACAAATGAGAACACCAGAAAACCGAGGCAACTCTTCTCCTTCTGTCCTCTCTGTTTTACTTTCGGAGGGGTCTTTCAAGACTGTTGCAGCATGTCATAAACACACGATTCATTTGTTGCAAGAAATCCAGCCACATTTACCCTGGCTAGCGCACTTCCCCCACATTCAGACTGTGCTATTCTGTGGTTGAGGTAATGCAGTTCTTTCCTCCTCCAACCACTCTAAGCAAGTGTTTGTATCGTCATAATGAATAGTGTATGGAAGGTGGTAATTACAGCAGTGTGACATTCCTGACTGGACAACGTCTGTGCTATTGCCATGCTGAGCCTGGGCCATTTTGGAAACATTCATTTAGCATCCCCTCTTTTGTTAAAAAGGTAATTTAAAGGGCCAATAATATGTATCTGTGGACCACAAATGAACCCATTTTAAAATAGAACATTAGTATAGAAATTAATTAATGTAGAAATGTCCCATATTTTAAAACATATGATCTATTTTTCCTACTCTCAGTCTCTCTCTCTCTCTCTCATTGTCTGTCTAGTTTTTTAAAGGCTGCAGATCATATCTTCAGTGCTGAAATACATTGTCACATTGCCTAAAGCAAAGCTGGTAGCAAAACTACAATTTCTTCTGTACATTATGTAGGATTGAGATATTGCCCCACAGAACCTAAGTCTGGGTAGAGCTACATGTAAGAATAAAATCATTTTTATTTTTGGCATCTGGAAAGATTCTAGGTAATGTGTGCCCTCTTCCATATCTATCCAAACACAGATTTATCCTTATGCAAAGTAAGGGTGGGTTTCTAGGCAAGTCTACATGGAAAAAACTCTTAAAGCTGGAAGCTGTAGGGCATTCTCTGTCTAAAAAAGCATATAATTACACCCTGAGCTTCAGTAATCTTCCGTCCACACCTGTTTAAGCATGTTTCTTGATAAACAGCATTCATTCATATACATAGAGAGGCACAGCTTATGTTCATATGCATGGCAATGAAAGATGTCCTACATTCAGACATCATGACACTTACTTAAACTGTGTGCATGACCAGAAAGAGGTTCTTCTGGAAATCTTTTGCAGTGTTCCACCATAGAATTTCAGATTCAAAAACTACATCATTTTCCACAATAGTAGTTATTATTACTATTAACTCAATAGCAGTTATTATTGAGACAGTATGTGATATACATAAATATACCCCAGTGTTTATAACTGCATGGTTGATGCAGGGACGCTGCAGTTTCTGCTCAGGGGCAACTGAGTGAGGCTGACATGTGCTGCCCCTGAGGACAATATCCGCATTCACTGCTCCCACCACTGCCATATATGATGGCTATTTTATCTGCGCAAGCAAATTAAATTCACCATGTGAGTGATGACAGCAGGAGGCTAAGGCAATAGCCAACAAAATGACAACAGCAGCAGCAAGTGTGAGACAGCAGGTGAGGTACCTGGGGAAAGCAAAGGGAAGAGCTCTATCCCGTATCAGATGATTATAAGGGACAATGGCTCCCAGAGCTGTATAAAGAGACATCTAAAGCAGCAAAACCTCCAAAACAAAAATGCCCAATACGGATACATAAGGATACCATTCCTGTTTGCAAATCATGTGAGCATGTCCCCTTTGCAGTGCTGGATGTGAATGTGAGCAGCAACACAATTCTTGGGAGATTTTGGCATGTTTCTGAACTTTCATTCTTGTTCAAAGGTGCATTTGTGCAAGCAAGCATTTCTGAAAATATGCACCTGTATAAGTGTGTACTTGTACAAATGCATATTTGTGCAAATTTCCCCCAATCTGCTTTCCCACTTCAGTCTATAGGAGAAAAATGTACATTTAATGTGCATATTTTTCAACTGGGTAAAATTGGGGGGTTTTGTTTGTTGTTATGTGCCATCAAGTCATCTCTGACTTATGGTGACCCTTTGAATGTATGCCCTCCAAATGTTTTGTCTTTCACAGCCTTGCTCAGCTGTTGTTAAATAGGAAAAAGCATGCGCTTCTAAAGATGCAGTTTTCCTAATCAAAAAGAACAAGATGTGCCTACTTGGGAACACAAATGAAGTAAAACCATCTTCAAGGAAGGATTTAGAGAACTGCAATGAGTTCATACGTTGCATATTTACCCTTCCATGGTATATACTTCAGGAAACAAAATGTCTCAAGCCACTTTCTCTCTTAAGAAATTGTCCAGTGGTGCAGGTAGGGCTGGACCTACAGCTGACATTTAAAACCCCAAAGCCCAAATCCCCTTCCCATGAACTCCTAGAAAATGACAGATGATGGAGCTCCCCCAGGCCTACATAGCATCCATTCTCTTTTCACACACACACACACACACACACACACACACACACAC